CAGGATATTTGGAAGGTCATGGATCCCTGCTCAGAGTCGGGATGTTTGGAAGGTGATGGGATTATATCCATGCTCAGGGATGGGGTATTTGGGAGGTGATGGGGTTGGATCCCTGCTCAGGGACAGGATGTTTGGAAGGTGATGGGGTTGGATCCACCCTCTGGGAAGGTGAGAGGTTGGATCCACGTTCAGGCACAGTTTGAAAGCTGGAGCACAAAATTTACCTGTTAAGAACTTACTGGAGCAGATGTCTGGAAACAGCCTTGTTAACCAGCCACTTCCTTCCCTGGGCCTTATTCCCTGGAAGTGTGGCTGACCTGTGGGACCTGTGTTTGCTTGCAGATGTTCTCAAACAACGATGAGGCCGTGATCAACAAAAAACTGCCCAAGGAGCTGCTGCTGAGGTGAGTCCCTGCCCCTGGGGGTGGGATTTGGGGCTTTGCTGCTTGAGCTTGGACTGGGTCACTCCCCAAAAAGCAGCACAGGGTCCAAGGTCTGCGTCAGCAGCGGTTTGTGCTGAGTGTGATCAAGTTTTGGGGGTTAAAATGCTGAATTAATTCGCTCCTTGCCTGTTTTGTAGGTGGAGGGACTGTAGGACTGAACAAGTCCTTGGTGAGGAGGAGTGGTGAGTGTGGGCTGGTGTGGAGAGCAGGGTTGCACTCCAGTGGGCTTTGTCCTGCTCCTGCTCAGCAGGAGCCAGATGTTCAGCAGCTGGCAGGATGGTCCTGTTGGGAAAAGATCCACCAGATCAGGCTTTGTGGATTTTTAAGGTTGGAAAAGACTTTTAGGATCACCCCTGTAGGATGCTCTGGCCCTGTGTGGGACAGAGTCCCCCTGGGAAGCAGGAGGGGGGTGAGGGGGTGATTGTCCCTCAGTTGGGTTCGGGTTTGTCAGTGCCTTGAGCTGGAAACGGGGAAGGCAAAGGCAGGAGGGAGCTGAAATTTTTAACACCAATAAAGTTATTATTAACACCTGCAGTTCTTACACTGCAGGAAACTGGGGGTCTGTCAACACTCCGTGGCTGTAAAGTCTGGGGAGAGGAGTGTGAGACAGGAACTGCTGCTGGATCACTGCTGGAACAGAGGGAACAGGGAAAAGGTCTCACTATGTTTAGTTTTCACTGCACTGCCACCTCTTGAGTGTTATTTCCAGCCTAATTCGGGTTCTCTTATCCCGGTGTTCCTCACCCAGTGTGTGGCTGGTGGAGCCCTCCCTGCTGACAGTGTGGGGGTTTGGGTTTGGAGCCTTGGGACACAGGGAAGGGGCTGTCCAGCCGCAAAAGAGGGACTTGGAGAGTGAGAAAAAATTGTTTTTCTGGATTTTTCTGAGAGTGGATTGTTCTTGTGGTGGGAGCAGATACGACAAAGGCAGGATTTGTCCTGGTGGGGAGGTGACAAGGCACGGGCGGGTCGGGGACAGGTTGGGAAGAGCATGGATGTGTGAGGTAGGGAATGTGGGGAATTTGGCAGGGAGGAAAAGGCCAGGGATGGAATTTAATGGAGATTTCACGTGGATTTCAGGGGAAGGACAGGTGTGTGTCCACAGGTCCGAGGAGCAGGGCCTGGGTGAGGTTTCTGGGAGGTGGAAGTGGAATGATCCCGAGTGGGACCAAGGGTTGAGGTTTGGCTCATTCCTGCCTGTGTGGAGGGACATTCACCCCCAGGGCTGTCACCTGCTGGCTCTCAGCTGGCAGGAGGCAAAGCTCTGTCAGAGTCCTGCCCTCTGGAAATGCAGGACAAACGTCCCCAATCCAGGTGGAGCTGAGCACGGGACAGGGAAAGGGGTGATGCCCCAGAGCACCATCCCCTCCCACACCCCAGCCCCACAGAACCCCTGTGCCTTTGGGGTGGCAGAGGCTGCTGCTCTCCCCTTTCTCATCCTCCTGCTCTTTATTTTGCTCAAGTGCAGCTTCCACTCCTCAGCCACACACGGGAGACACGGAACCCATCTGAGATGGGGCAGGGAACAGGCCCTTCCCCAGCAGCACTGCCCAGACACACCAGCCTTTGTCCTGCAGACACTGACACCCATTTACAGGAGATTCCTGCAGGGAAACCCATCCAAGTTTCCCTTTCAAAGGCCGCACTGTCAATCCACACTCATTAATTTTCGCAGTCTGTTGACAGTGAATTCCAGCTCTCCAAACCATCACTTATGAACTCGAAACATTTATCAACTGCTGGTTTCTCCCTGGTTCCCCCCTGATCCCGGGCATTTGCTGGGCTGGGATGGCCAGTGACACCCAGGCACCACAGGCACAAACATTCCCACAGGGAATTCTCCCGGGAGCGTGAGAACTCTGATGTCCTGCTGGAATTCCCTGTGTGGTGCAGGACCTTCCCTCCCTTCGTACCACAAATCCTTCTCCAGTTGTCTGGCAGTGTTTGTGGAATCATGGAGTGGTTTGGGTTGGGAGGAACCTTAAAGCCCATCCAGTGCCACCCCCTGCCGTGGGCAGGGACACCTTCCACTATCCCAGGTTGCTCCAACCTTGGACATTTCCAGGGATGGGGCAGCCACAGCCTCAGCAAGACAATCCCAAATCCATGTCCTGGCACTGCTGTTCCTGCTGCAGCTTTGTCTCCTGCCAGCTGAGAGGCAGGAGGTGACACCCTTGGAGGTGTCACCCTTCCCACACACAGAAATGAGCCAAAGCACCAAAAAGCAGCATTCCCTGCTCTGCCCTCATTCCTTGGCTGCTCCAGCTCCTCTTTGGGCAGTTTGGTGTCTCCAGGGGGTGAATCCATGGTCCCTGTCAGCTCCAGCTGTGCTCATGTCCCCAGAGGGGCATCTCATCCCAGTTTCCCTGTGCTGCCATTCCCACTGCCACAGGAAAGGTGCTTTTATTCCGTGAGGTCTGGGAGCCAAACCCCAAGCCCCAGCCTGGATTTTCCGTGGCCTCTGGAGAAGGTTTCACTCCCGGGGTGATGTGGGGCTGTTAAACACCCCCACCTTGGCAGGAGCAGGGACCAGGCAGTGGGAATTGGGCTTTTCCTGGCTGGTTCATGGGCAGGTCAAGCAGTTTGCAGCTCTCTCCTGGCCTAAGCAGCTTTGATCCGTGCTCTGCCTGCTCCCCCTTCCCAGCACACCCCCAGCACTGCCCCTGCCATCCAGCATTCCAGCCCCACCCTGGTTTATCCCCGAGGAGCTGGAGTTCTTGGGAACTGATGAGGAGGTGGGAGCAGAGCTGTGATTTCTTCTCCCCCTGCCCAGCCCATGGGAGCAGAATCCACCTGGAATGGTGACTCACTGGCAGGAGCTGCTGTGGGTAATTTTAGAAGGCTGAAGGTCTAAGCTGGCTCACCTCAGAGCCCTCAGCATCCAGGGATTTCAGCAGGGGCCTGACCCTAATCCAGTTAGGGACAGTGGGAAAGTGAGGAGTCCCAGAGACCCTGAGTGGATTAAGAGGGTGAAACCTGAAAATTGCTCTAAGTGGGTGTGTTTCACCCAAACTGGCCAGGGCTGAGCTGTTCAGCTGCACGTGGGGGAGTTACTTTGCAGTGAAACAGTTTAATCCGCTGCAATTCCAGCCTTAATTCCTGTTGGGAAAGCTCAGCCTGCCTTCAGCTGCGGTCACTGCTCGGTGATAAAGTTGATTTTGTGGATTATTTCCTCGCTGTCAACTCTGAGGAGAGAAAAGACCAATGTAAAAGAGTTGGGAGCAGAACAGGAATCCTTCCTGGATGGAAAAATAAATATCCCAGCTCGGTGCCTTTGGGTCTGTTAAGGCAGAATTGGGAAAAATTATCCAAGTAGTGCTTTTCTGGGCACCTTGTGCCGGTGTCCCACCACCCTCACAGGGAGGGATTCCTTCCCAATATCCCACCTAAACCTGACTTTCACTTGGAAGCCATTCCTGCCTCCACACATTCCCCCTTGTCCTGCCGCTCCAGGCCCCTGGAAATGATCTCTCTCCGTGTTTCCTGTGGCTCCTTCAGGTGCTGGAAGGCCACAATTAGGTCACCCTGGAGCCTTCCCTTCTCCAGGCTGAGCAATCCCAGCTCTCCCAGCCTTTCCCCACCACTCCATCCCTCTAATCACCGGGGTGACACCCGGGACTAATCCGGGCGCCGAAACCGGGCCCGTCTCCTGCTTTGATCCCTGGGCTGGGAATGGTGGCACTGCCCAACTCCTGGGAGCTGTTGCTGGAGGTGCTGGTGCCTTGGACTCTCTCCCAGGTGGAGTCAGAGCCAGCCATCCCAAAATCCCCGGGTGTGCTCCGTGGGCTGGCCAGACCTGGGGCTCTGGGGCTCCGTGTGGGGCCACAACCTCCAAATTTCCTCTCCGGAGCTGCTCCAAGCTTTGAGGTTCCCATTTCCCTGTGGCTCCAGAGCTGCTGTGTTTCCCTTTCGTTTGGGAGCTGCTGTGTTTCCCTTTCGTTTGGGAGCTGCTGCCTCTGCACTTCTTTTCAGCTGAATCACAAAGCAGTTTTGCTGCCCCGGGCTTTTCCCCCTCCACCACCTTTGTTTTCCACGTTCCCCCTGTGTTAAACCAATAAGGTGTCTCTCGTTTCTCTTCCAGAATTTTCTCCTTCCTGGATGTGGTCACTCTGTGTCGCTGTGCTCAAGTTTCCAGGGTAAGAACCTTCCTCCTCTTCCTGGTGGGTTTTAGCAGGGGGTTGGATTTGGGGAGGCAAAGTCCTCTTGCTCCAGCCCTTCCCAATCACACAGGGGGTTGTACCAGGGACCTTTGTGCCACTGAACTGTTATTTGGTGTCCCCTGTTAACACTGGAAAATTCCCAGTGAAGGGGACTCCAGCCTGGAATAGCATTTTCCAGTGTCCCAGGTATGAAGGGGGTTGACTTTTTGCCCAAACCTTTCCCCTCAGCCTGGGTTTGTCCAGGGAGCCCAGGGCTGCTGGAAACCCCAAAGCTGGGAGTCTGGAACGGTTTGGGTGGAAATACAGGAATTCTGATTCACAGGGGGTGCTGCAGAGCCAGTGGAAGGTTATTTCCTCCCTGGATGTAGTTGGAGTAAGCATGGAAAAAAAAAAAAGAGTGTTTTGTTTGGGGTGGTTTCTGTCCTTCGTGGGCTTCAGCTGGTGAAATCCAGCTTGGAATATTCGCTTGGGAAAGTTCTTCCAGCTGCAGGTCAGATTATCTGGAGCTTCCAGGTTCATTCTGGGAACAGCCAGAGGAGGCACTGCCACAGGAAGGGTGGGATGTCCATCCAGGGGAGGTGTTGGAGTGGAGTGTTCACTGTCCTGGCTGGGTCACCCCTGCACAAACTGCTCAGTGCATCAGTCCAAGCACGTTGTAATCAAAAAAATTATGCTTAAACATTATTTACTGCATTAAAACCGGCCCTGTGTGGGGCCTGGGCGTTGCAGTTCCCACCTGGATAACACAGGTCTGGGGAGGGAAAGACCTTCCAGGTGAAATCCAGGGCTCCAGCAGGACAGTCCCGGCTGGAACGGGATCCTGCCAGTGTCAAGGTGCCCTCCTGGGCTGCCCCTTGCTCCTGTTTGCACAGGGAGCAGCATCACTCATCCCGTGGCACAGCACGTGAGGTACCTGCAGGAGGTGCAGGAAGGCTCTGGAACGTTCCCTGCCCATGGAATTGTGCAGCCACCGGTGCATTTCCCACCGGAGCCGTCGCTTTTCCCGTGGACCTTAAAACAAATACCAGCAATTCAAACCACAAAGAGAAAATCACTTAATGCCCAGTTCTGCCCCTTGCTCTGACTCTGCACTTATTGTTGCCCAAGAGCTGGTGTTTTGGGCTGGGAGACGAGCTCAGGGCATGTGAGGGATGGGATGGGATGGGATGGAAAATCCACCTGTACTTATCCCTGATTTCCCAACGCTGAGCTCCTGGTTATTACCAGATCTGGTTGTTTACTTTGATTGGGTAATTAAAACTTTACACACGGCTCCGTGCTGATTCACTGAGGGCAGAATCACCAGCCCTGGGCTCCTGCCCCTCCTTTTGCAGCAGGAACCACGTGAGATTCGGGGGGTTTGGACCAAAACTAAAGCCCCTTGTGAGTGTTGAGGGTCCCCTGGGGGGGACTCATCTTAATTCCAGCCAGGAATGTGAAGATGCCCACAGCTTCTCCCGCTCTGGGGACACCAATTCCCTACCTGGGGGACCTGGAATTCCAAGTTATTCCCTGGGGTAGTCCCAGCAAGTGCTTCTGGTTCCTGCCCAGTTCTCCGTGTTGGAATTCCCCTGTTGGCTTTTCCACCTGGGACACTGAGAGTGTTGTTCCTCCAAGGAACAAAACTGGGACTGGGTCCCCCACTGACCTTTTTTTTTATCATATTAACCACACATTTACATTTTTTCCCCCCGATAAAGGCATGGAATGTTCTGGCCCTGGATGGCAGTAACTGGCAGCGAATTGACCTGTTTGATTTCCAGAGGGACATTGAGGTATCATTAAGTGACATACAAACCCATTTTTTTTTTCCCCCTTGTTAAACTGTAATTACAGCCTAGAATGGATTCATACTCCCAGAGTAACCCCTTTTTACCTTCCCTGGAGATAGAGATCATTAATTTCAGCTCTTCAGCTTCGGGGAGCCTTTTAAAGTCTTGGCAACCCATTCAGCTTTTGAAAATGGACAGAATTACGTGTCTGCATCAAGCCTTGAGAGGGGCTAATGGAAGGAAAGTGGTTTTGCCTGTTCTGAAAACAGAAATTAGTAGAAAAGGTATGTTTTTGGGGAAAACTGCTGCTTGTTTGGAGCAGAACTGAGGCTGTTTCTCCTTCCCCTCCCAGTCAGCACAGCACTGATGAGACCACAAAGGCTGAATGTCTGTTGAATCCTTCCCTGTCCGTCTTTAATATCAAAAATTGAAATTTCAGTGAAGATGATTTGGGGGGGACTGAGGTCAAAAGTTGTCCCTGAAAAGGTGCAGCTTTGGAGCTGCCTCGTCGTTGGATCTGTTGGATGTGGGCTCTGCACTCATAGGGATGGTCTTAAAATGGAAAGTGCCTTGAGCAGGAAAAGGGAGCAGAAAAAAACCAACCCTCAGAATGTTTTATCCTGTTTAAAACAAAAAAAAAAATTCCTGAAAAAACCCAACCCCTTTTAAAAGAAAACACTGGGGTTTGTTGTCCCTCACCTCCAGAACCTGCTGGCCTTCCTGATGTGCTCAGGCTTTGCTTTGAGGGAGTTAAATCCAGCAGTTGGTGTAAATTATTGATACAGACGTCTTTGGATCCCCTAATCCAAGCAGGATCCACAGGCTTGCCAGAGGAATTGCAAAATCTGGGAGTGTTGCAGCTTCTCCAGCCTTTTTACAGGGATGTGGAGCTCGTGGAGCTGCTCCTGTGGCCCAAAACTCACCTTGGAGATCTCAGTGTCCCTCTTTGGTTGCGGGATTATGCCGTGTTGAGCCTGATCCTTGGTTTTGGGGGCTTTTTGGGGACTGGAAAAGAGATTCTAGAGGAGCATCTTCATCTTCTGTTGCTCTTAAATGCCAGTTAGTGCAGGGAGAGCCGAGGGATGCTCCTGGTTTGTGATGAACAACCAAAGCCCAGGGGGAGGTTCTGGATTGCTGAGCACTGCTCAGATATTCTCCAGAGGGTTTGCCCTTCATTCCCAGGGAGAGAGGGAAATCCTGGGCTCTTTGGAGGCTTCCAGTGAACACAGATTTGAAATAAAAAAAGCCTTTTTCTGGATCTCTCGAGCCACAAGCATTTGAATCCTTTTTCCTGCCAAACTCCTGGGCTGGTTCTGCTCCTGAGTGGAAGTTTGGGTTTATCCCTTGGAAATCCTGCTGCCCAGGGTGTAGCTCCCCTCCCATTCCCTGGGGAGTCTGTGTGGATGTCCGGGAGCCCCAAACTGGGGGAAGTTCCTTGGAATTCCCCCATCCTTGGCCGATGGGCTTCAGGGAACTGCTCCTTGTCTCTCCATCTTCAGAAGCTGAATAATCCCCCCCTTTCCCCTTCCCTTAGATCCTTCCTGTGGCATTTTTGTTTCCTTAGCACCCTAAAGTAACAGACTCGTTGTTAACCTGCCAAATGTTGAATCCAGCTGTTTGGGGGTATTTTTTTGGGGGGGAATGCTGAGGTGCCCTTTCTGTCTCCCCCAGGGCCGGGTGGTCGAGAACATTTCCAAGAGATGTGGGGGATTCCTGCGGAAGCTGAGCCTGAGGGGCTGCCTGGGAGTGGGGGACAACGCCTTAAGGTAGAGCTGCCCCTTCTTCCTGCTTGGAATCGGGCTGGGAAGGGGGATTTGGCTCCTCCAGCCACCCAGGACGGGGATAATCCAGCACCACTTCGTGCCCGAGCCCCTCAGCCCGTGTGTGTGTGTGAGGGAAACCTCGAGGGCAGGGACAGACATTGCTCATTTACCACTTTAATTGGTCATTTTTAACCTCAGCCCGGGTTCAAAAGTCTCATTAAAATTCAATTTTTCTCGGTTCTCATTAAAATCCTGTCAGCTGCTGCTCCAAACTCGGGAGGGATTGGCACTGAGGGGCAGCTGAGGCCTTTAGCGGGGCTGGGAAATCCCAGGGCACGAGATGGGCCACCAGAAATCACTGGTTTTCTGGATTTCCTTCTATTTTCTTGGGTTTGTTCTTTATTTTCTTGATTTTGTTCTTTATTTTCTTAACTTTGTTCTTTATTTTCTTGATTTTGTCCTTTATTTTCTTGATTTTGTCCTTTATTTCCTTGATTTTGTCCTTTATTTTCTTGATTTTGTTCTTTATTTTCTTTTACATGTTCTTGATTTTCTTTTACATTGTCTTGATTTTCTTTTACATTTTCTTGATTTTCTTTTACATTTTCTTGGTTTTCCTTTATATTTTCTTGATTTTCTTCTGTATTTTCTTGGTTTCCTTCTTTTACTTGTTTTCTTCTCGATTTTATTGCTCTTCTTCATTCTTCTCTTATTTCTTGATTCTCTTGATTTTCCTCTTGATTTTCTTGATTCCTGTTTCTTGATTATTTTCTTTTCTTGATTTTCTTGATTTTCTTCTTTATTGATTTTCTTCTTTACTGATTTTCTTTATTGATTTTCTTCTTTATTAATTTTCTTCCTTATTTTCTTCTTTATTGATTTTCTTCTTTACTGATTTTCTTCTTTACTGATTTTCTTCCTTATTTTCTTCTTTATTGATTTTTTCTTTACTGATTTTCTTCTTTATTGATTTTCTTCCTGATTTTCTTCTTTATTGATTTTTTCTTTATTGGTTTTCTTCTTTATTGATTTTTTTCTTTATTGGTTTTCTTCTTCATTGATTTTCTCCTTTATTGATTTTCCTCCTGATTTTCTTCTTTATTGATTTTTTTCCTCTTTATTGATTTTCTTCCTTATTTTCTTCTTTATTCCTCCTTTATTTCTTCTTTAACGCTCGAGACCGTTCTGCCAAACCTTAATGTGCTGGGTTCCATTTCACACAACTGCTGTAACCCACCTGGAATTCTGTTCCCTGGCCAACCCAGTGTTTTCCCTCCCTTTCCCAAAGGACCTTTGCCCAGAACTGCAGGAACATCGAGGTGCTGAACCTCAATGGCTGCACCAAGATCACGGACGCGTGAGTAGAGCTCTTCCCTCAGCCCTGGCTGCTCCAGGGCCTGTTTCCCATCCCTTTTCTAAGGGAAAGCCAGGCTTGGGTGTGT